TTCATTTCTAAGTCCCTAGATCGTCCTAATCCAGAATACGGCTGTCACCTTCTCATAAGTTCTCGTTGATCACATTCATCACACACCAGTATGCCTCGCCGATGCCTCTTCGACGAGTAGAAACATGCAAGCACTTCCTAACCAAAGGGGCGTATCAGGTCTAGTGCCCTATGCCACCGTTGTTACGGCAATTTTCCTCAATGCTTGCTTGTTCCGCCATTCTGCCTGTACCCAACATTCGAGCAACATGTCTTTTTCAACCAATCAATCAGATTTTTAAAATGTCCTATGGGGCTAACATCTCCACACTGTTTCCTTCCTGAGCTACCCGTGTGTAGAACGCTGCCAATTTCTGCCTTCCAAAAATTCCGATCATTCATTCATATCACCGGTTGTGTTATTTCGTGTATTTTGTGTTACATTTTATCGTTTCCAGCTTCCACTCATTAAACCAATGAGCCATCGTATCCATTTCGTTCTACACTGTAAATCGTTCCTAGCCAGGGAGCTTCCTAAACCTTCTAGTGTGAACATGTCTTCAAGAGCTGCAATATAACCAATGACACACACATCTGTTGAAATATCCCCGCGTATCAACAGTCGGCGTTTTTGCTTATCCGGTATCTGACATTAAATCGTTCCTAGCCAGGGAGCTTCCTAATCCTTCTAGTGTGAAGATGTCTCCAAGAGCTGCAATAACCAGTGACACACATCTGTTGGAATATCCCCGCGTATCAACAGTCCGCTGTTTTGCTTATCCGGTATCTGACATTTTTTCCGTGAAAACATTCATCAAAAGATTGTATTTATATAAACAGCGTTTATAGGCTGAATCAAACAATAGCAAACTCAGTATTTGTTTGGACGAAGCGCGATATTTAGCCGTCCATTCAGTCGCTACCGGGATAGATGTAACATACTGTGTGAATCAACCTACTCATCATTCCTCTGTGACTTTGGACTGGATTTGGACTGGATTTTTACAGAAAATAGGAATAGAGCATAAAATAGTTGGACTTGTCTTCACTCCACTTGGAAGCATACAATAATGGTATGAATGGTTTCGGAATTTGTCGAAAGCACGCTCACATCACTCTCGTTTTAACAGTCGTCCCCCTCTCCTGGGGCAATCATTCTGTTAATTTATTTACAGCCCTCATTTTCTCTCCTGTGGCGAGATTCATAGTTTTTCTTTGTAAATTAATCACCGGAAAACTCCTAATTTTTCCGGTTCCAGGAGCAAAATTTTCTAAGCTTAAAGCATTGTTCGAGGACGCTGCCTTCGGAACATAAGGCTACTGAGACTAGGCCTGGATTTTTGTTGCATTTTCAACTATAGACGTGGTACACTATTCATAAGGTTGCTGAAAACTCATCGGCAACCCAGTACCGGCTTTGCCCCTGATAAGGTCCATTAGGTAGGTGCAGCATAAGAGTTTCTGTCAAACTTAAGTTCTACTTGAACCCAACTCGGACAGATTTACACATCATGAACAAGAGATTCAGCTGGGTTCTAGGTGAGACTCTCGCTAAAACCAAATCGACATGCAACTGAGTGAATTTGTCAAGATATTTTTCACACTTTATTCCACTCCTTATTTTCATGGTCTCTTTTGATGTGTTCCGCAGTAAGTTTTTGGGAATATTAGTCGTGAGGAAAACGCAAGCTGACGAAAACGACATTCGTCATATTTTTCAGGTTAATGCTGATTTTTTAACCTTAGTGTTGGGGTCGCATCAATTAATTGGCTGGTCTTAGGTCACAGATGTGTACATAATCTTACGTCTTACTTGTTTTATTCATGAAGGTAAGTTTGACAGAAGGATCATTCGTAAGGATATAACGTAAAAATACAAGGATAGGTAGGCTGACAATAAGGCATTCGTTCAGTCTCATTTTTGCTTTATTTTAATGCAGTATACGAACAAAACATTCCACAACGACAAGCTAACTGTCACAAGCTGTGAACTCTTGAAGAAAAGTGAGAACACTGTAGGTGGTACAATTTTGGGCAAATATCGACTGGTCACAATACAAACTTGGGCAAATTCGCAAGAAACCGCACACGTGGATCTTCGCACCACTTTCCTGCAGGAACAGAATGGACCCGAAGACGGGTGCAAGTTCAACGGATATTGGGCACCTGTTCAGTTGGTGTTTAGTAAGTGCAGTTTTGAATGGTAATATGTGCCTTCCGAGGTGAAATGTTGGAATTTGATTATCTCTCACTAAGTTAGACCTTGCATGCTTTTTCCATTTTTGTTAGCTATTTCCAACGGCTATGATTGTCTCCTTATGATAAGCAACTCCTGATGAAAAACATCACGATGACATATCCACAGTATGAAAATATAGTTTTTACCCTCACGATAACCAACATCTGTTATGGAAGGCTTTCGTAATCTCCCAAAGCGCTTCACCATTTCAATGTATTCATTTAATTAAGCCAGTACATTCAATCCATCCAGCCATATACTCATTCTCGATAGGACTTCAGCAGGGGCAGTATAGGCCTCCAAAAAGTATTGCCCATGAGACGGAACAAAGTGCAC